GATTTTGATATTTTTCGGATGAGAAAGTCTTGCGTTTGCATATGTTTTCGGAACATCGCATCTTGAAATTATTGAAATCACATTATGTTTGGCAGGATTTCGGCACGCGCGCGCGGCGGCCGCGCGCATGTGCACTTCGTGTCATTTTTTGCAAGGGATGGTGGCCCTCGTAGGCTCGCAACCGTTGTTGCAGAAGGTCGAAGCACCTGAAAAGGTTCCTCGCAAAGGCCCTTTTAACAGAAATGTTTAAAATCTGGTGGGTTTCCTAGGAATCCGCAAGAGCGCGCGGAAGGACATTTTGACAATTTTTTCTGAGAAAACCATTGGGTTTTTGATGTTTTTATGTTAAAATCGCTACGAAACCTAAGGTTTTGGAAGGATTTCGTCTTGCGCGCACGAATGTCCACTTTACCTTATTTTTTGCAAGGGATTCTTGCAATTTGATCAAGTAAAAACAAGAATTTTCATTTTCTATTGTTTTTTGCAAGGGAAAACGAGCGTCAACAAAAAACCGGATCCGGAGCTCATCCACTTTTCTGAAGCTTTCGCGAAAAAATGATGAAAATGTAGCTGCGGCCTAGGCGCGGCGCAGAGGTCGCGCACCAGGGGTCCCAACAATAATAATTCTTTAGAAGGAATAATGTTCAACAACAACAACAACAACAACAAAACAGACCACAGCACGATGCCAAGCCGTACCTGGCGCCGCCCGGACGCGTGCACTCCTCCAGCACGGACCATCGAGGAACAGTTGTTGAGCGAAGCGAACCCCACCCTGCCCCTCACAAGTCGTGGGGGGTAGGGGCAGGGTTCGCATGTGGCCCCCTGATGCTGGGTCGTCTTGCGAAGACGTGCCCGCACGAAGCCGAAACGTGCACGGGCTCGTGGACGTCCGAGCGACGGCGAGCGCACGTGCATCCTCCTCCCTCGCGCTCGCCCGGCCTCCAGTCGAGGCCCGGGAAAGCGGTCGCCACGCTGCCACGAGGAGCGCCGAGCAGGGCGCGACACCCCCGAGGGCTGGGCGCCACAACTTGCTTTTGGCGCCGCAGGCCTGCTTCTTGGCCAGGCCTCTCGGGCCACGGGGCCTCCTCAGAGATCGGTGCGGCTCGAAAAAAAGACCGCCGAGGGTCAAGATCGGTCGAGGGCACCCGTCGAGATGTTCCGCGGTGCGGCATCTTGGAAGGGGCCCGGGGACACACAAATAAACACACACACAAATAAACCCACACACACACACAGACACACACAGATCCCGGGATCCCCCGTATCTTTCCATAGTTCTTGGACTCTCGTCTTCCCCCCACCCCCACGCTTGCCATAGTTTCCCATATCTTCTGGGGAATCGACGATTACTCGTGTCTGTGTGTTTTGCCCCTCCCGAGTCTTGTCCGCGACGCGGGATCGCAGTGAGAGGGGCTCCCTCGGCCAGGGACGGGCCTCGGCCGGGGACGGGGCTCTCTCCTGGACCCTGGACGCGCGCGCGCCCCACCCGCTCGCAGAGCGACGACTGCTCGCAGATGCCCTGGATCGAAGGCTGACAGACCTCCTAATTACCCTGACTTTTGATCTGCGGGGCGAGAGCGAACCTCTTCCGCTAAAAGCTAGGCGGGCTACGCACAGCTTTAATCAGGGAGACAGGGCACAGGAAGGCGGGGCCTCAGGCGGCCGGAGTGGGCGAAGCCCAGGGGTGCACGCGGTCTCCTACCCTGACACGTCGATTGGCGAATTGGCCGTTCTCGGCTCGCAAGGGGGCGTCGCGGCCATCATTTCTGCGGGTCCAGGTCCGTCGGTCTCGGTCCCAGGCCGTGTTCACTGAAGGGTGGTGTACTGGAGGGAGTTCTGTCCACCGCCGACCGGATCCACCGAGGGGGATCTGCGATCCATCGATGAGCGTCCTCTGACTCGGCGGTTCGGCATTGGGCGGAACACTGGTTGCTGGAGTTTCGACATTCGGCGATTCGGCGCTTCGACAGTCGGCGTTTCGACATCGGGGGGTCTGGCTCCGGACCTCTGCTCAGCGCGACGGCTTACAGCAGTGTGTCCTGTGGGGGGGGGGAGAGAGGCCCCGCTTGCCAGAAACGCCAGGAGGGAGAGGAGGAGGAGGAGGAGGAGGAGGAGAGGAGGAGGAGGAGGAGGAGGAGGAGGAGAGGAGGAGGGAGGAGGACGGAGGAGGAGGAGGAGGAGGAGGAGGAGGAGGAGGAGGAGGAGGAGGAGGAGGAGGAGAGGAGGAGGAGGAGGAGGAGGAGGAGGAGGGAGCCGAGGGTCCGCGCCGCTCGGCAAAACACGGGAAGACGAGCACGGGAGGAAGGCACGCTCCTGCCCGAGCGCCTGCGGGCAGGCACGCCTGCCAAGGCCGCGGCAGCGCGCCCGGTGCTGCCTCCGGCGCCCAGCCCTGCGAGGAGAGCGGCGCCCGAGGAGCAGCGGAGCCCCGGCCCCGTCAGCCGGCGCCGTCGCTGCAGAGAAGACCCGCAAGCGGGCCCGGTGGGCCGACGGCATCACCCGCCGCCCTGCTCGTCGTCGTCGTCGTCGTCGTCGTCGCCGCGGGCCGCCGTCCGCTCCTGGCGGGAGGCCTCTCGGGCGGCCAGGAGGGAGGACCGGGGGCTTCTGGCCGTCGTGGTGCCACGAGGAGCGCTACAGCCAGCCTTAAGTCGTGCGTGTCCCCCTTCAGGGAGATTTTCGACGAAAAATGAAGAAATACTCAAAAATTACTTAAGTCTCCAGACTATGTTTTGACTATTTTTGAATATTCCTCCTGTAGAGGGACGGGCCCGACTTAAAGCCAGCCCGTGACACAAGGATGCGCAGAAAGGATGCAAGGCCCTCGAAGGCCCATGTGAACGTTTCTGCGAACGAGGTTGGCCAGCGAAAGTCGCTAAGGATGGGCCGAAGGGGCAAGGATGCAGGGGTACCCTTGGGAAGGTGGCCCACCCTTACTATGCGGACTGACTGTACGTGAGGAAAGAGATCCCGTCTTGGCCCCAAAGAGATCCCGTCTTGGCCCGTCTTGGCCGTGGGTGCACGGAGAGCGCTAGAGGACCAACCGTGAAAGCACCTACAGTACAGCGAGCCCCTTCCGAGTGCGAACTGTTCTTGATTCAGCGTCTTGGCCAGGAGGATAAGCATAATCCCACCAGGCCTTCGGCCGTAGGTGGTCTAAGGATACCTTTCTTTCCTCTTCCAAAGCCCTCTTCCCTTCAGGGAGCGCTACTCTCCCACTTCCCTCCCTGAGGTTTTCTGGGGGGGCGCGAGATGTCAGAGGGGCCTTTTATGGCTCCAAGAGAGCGTCCGATGCTCCAAGATGGCCTCCAAGATGGCTCACGATGGCCAGAGACGGTGCAAGATAGCTTCTGACATACCTTCAAAACGCACGATGAGGGCCACAAGGCGGTTCCGAGTGGTCCCGGAGCCCCCATGGGGACCCTCCAAGAAGCCAAAACCCTTCAAAGACAGCAGAAGATCAATGATTGTTGCCTTCTCGTCTTTTGGCGTCCGATGGGCTTCTGGGGCCTCAAGACAGCCCAAAGATTGCCCAAGAGAGCCCGACGAGCGCCCCCAAGATCCGCCCAAGAGAGCCCCAAGAGCACCCCAAGAGGCGACAATGATGGCTCCAGAGGGGAAGACAGATCGAGGACCCCCCCTCCTTTGAGCGACGCTCTAAAATCTAAAAGATGGCCCCAAGAGGCCTCACAGGACCCCCAAGAGGGCCCCAAGAGAGCCCAAAGACACCTTGACGGAGCCCTATGAGGACCCCAGGGCCTTCCAAAAGAGCCACAAGAGCCCGAAGAGGACCCAAAGCAAACCCCAGCAGGACCCCAAGAAGACCCCAAGATGACTCATGGCTCAAAAAAGTTTTGTCCTCGCTATCCTCCTCCTCCCCCTCCTCCTCCTCCTCCTCCTCCTCCTCCTCCTCCTCCTCCTCCTCATCATGCATCCGATATTGCAAAACGACCTCCAAGATGGCTCAACACACTCCTCCCCCTCCTCTCCTTGCCCGCTTTTCGTGTCACGGCATATGTGTCTCTGCCATGCGTTGAGCGTCAATGCTCCGCATTAAGGCGAAGCTGGTGCAGGTGCAGATGCTTTCTCGGTCGCGGCCGCGAGACGACGGTCAGGCGGCGAGAGCAAAGTCCGGGACGCGAACTAGGCGAATTAGCAAGAATGCGTGGTGTGCACATGCACTGAGCAAAATGCTCCGCATTAAGGCGAAGCTGGTGCAGATGCGCGGAGCGTGAAGAATTTCTCGGAGGCCCGCGCGGACCTTCGAGAAATCGTGCGTTTGCTGCTTGGTTACTCGTTCTCAGCGTCCTTGCTCAGAGTCGCTCCCCAGGTACCCCCCCCCAGCCCACCCGCCCCTGGGGCACCCCGGACTTCCTCGACGCGTGCCCCGCCGCGGCACAGGGAGGGGGGCCCCAGAAGAGAAGAGAGGGGCAAAATCTCCCCACCCCCCACCCCCACCCTCATCACGAAAAGAACCACAGTACCTTCACCCCTCCTCCTCCTCCTCCACTCCCTCCTCCCCTCCTCCTCCTCCTCCTCCTCCCTCTCCTCCTGGCTCCTCCCTCCTCCTCCTCCCTCCTCCCTCCTCCTCCTCCTCCTCCTCCCTCCTCATCCCTCTCCTCCTCCGCTCCTCCTCTCCGCCTCCTCCTCCTCCTTCCTCCTCTCCTCCCCTCCTCCCTCCTCCCTCCTCCTCCCCTCCTCCTCCTCCTCCTCCTCCTCCTCCTCCTCCTCCTCCTTCCTCCTCCTCCTCCGCCTCCGCCTCCTCCCCTCCTCCTCCTCCTCCTCCTCCTCCTCCTCCTCCTCCTCCTCCTCCGCCTCCGCCTCCTCCTCCTCCTCCTCCTCCTCCTCTCCCTCCTCCTCCGCCTCCTCCGCCTCCTCGCCTCCCTCCTCCTCCTCCCTCCTCCTCCTCCTCCTCCTCCTCCTCCTCCTCCTCCTCCTCCTCCTCCTCCTCCTAGTCGAGGCCTGGTGAGGAGGAGACGGCCAGGGCAGGCGAGACTCCGCGCCTGGTTCTTGTCTATGGCCATGTTGAACTGGTTGATGGCAGGCGGCACCTGGGCTCCGGGGGAGGGGGGCCCCCTTCGAGGACGGCAGCTGCACCTGGGACGCACAAGGACATGCTAATACTACGCGTACTCCTCGGAGGCGTGCGTCCGACCGAACATATACGTTGCAACCGTCCTGTAGTAGATCGTTTCCCGAACGGTATTGGCTGGCAGAAAGCGCCCGACACGGGCCTTATACTGTAAGATGTTTCGGCGCGCGCGTTGACCCTGGGGGGGGACACGAACACATTGTATTAGTATGCTGGGGTGTTGCCAATTACCGTTGCACCCGCCCTCCCGCCCTCCCACCTGATTTATGATTTTGCATGTGAGCGCAATACCCGTCGGTCGGAAGAAGTAGGTAAAAACATGAAAAGTGATTTGGGTTCGGCCCTCTAAGAGAGTAGCACAACGCAGCTTTCATCGGTTCTTGAAGTAGGAAGGCGCTTGCAACAAATTGGGACCTTGGACTCCAAAACCACTCACTTTCAAGGACCAGCGCGAAATCCTTGCGGACACACTGCTGGTTACCAAAGTTCCCAGATTTCCCTCTCCTCCCCTCCCCTCCCCCCGCCTGTCCCTCCCTCCCTCCCGCCGTCACTCCCGCCCGCCCTCCCTCCATCACTCCCCCTCCCTCCCTCCTCCTCCTCCTCCTCCGCCCTCCCTCCCTCCCACCTCCCCCCCCCTCCCTCCCTCCCTCCCTCCCGCCTCCCCCCCCCTCCCCCTCCCTTCTCCTCCTCCCTCGCTCGGCTCTGCTGCCCCCGCCGCCCGCCAGCCCTGCTCGGAGGGGGAGGGGGGCAGCAGCGGCGGGGCCCTGCGGGCCTTGAGGCGCATGAGCATGACGCGCTTCATGCGCTGCAGGCGGACAAACTTGGGCCACCTCACGAAGCGGTTGAGGTTCCGCTTCGGCTGGATGTCGCCGCCCAGCCTGTGCCCCGAGCGCCGGGATCGAGAGGGGAGGAGCGGGCCCGGTCCCTCCCCTCCCCGCCTGCCCCTCCCCCGTGGCCCCCGGCCCCCTGGGGTCGCGACCCCTGCCCGGGGGGGTGGTTCTGGTCCGCCTCGTGTCCGTGGTTGCCGGGCCCGGGGCCCACTGACGTGTCCCCCAGAGGCCGAAACCCAGGCAGAACCCCAGGATTGAAAAAACACAGATCGTCGGAGAGCTGGGTGTTGGGGGCCCCCCTCCCTGCTCGAGTCCTCCCTCCCTGCTCCCTCCCTGCTCCCTCCTTGCTCGTTGCCTCTGACTTCCCCCCTGCTCCCTCCCTCCCTTCCTCCCTGCGCCCAGACAGGGGAGAGGAGCTCGAAATCAGGCCCCCGATTCGGAGGAGCGGTGGGAGACAAAAAGGAGGAGGGGGGGACCGCGAGCAGGACGAGGAGGAGGAGGGAGAGGAGGAGGAGGACGAGGAGGAGGAGGCGGAGGAGGAAGGAGGAGGAGAGAGAGGAGGAGGAGGAGGAGGAGGAGGAGGAGGCGGAGAAGGAGGAGCGGGAGGAGGAAGAGGAGGAGGAGGAGGGAGGAAGAGGGGGAGGAGCAGGATGGGGGGGAGGAGGAGGAGGAGGAGGAGGAGGAGGAGGAGGAGGAGAACAAGGAGGACGAAAGGAGACAGGGGCCCAAGAGACGAGAGGGCGGTCAAGAGCAAGAGACGAGGCAGACGCCCGTCAGGGGGCAAGAGACAAGAGACTCCAAGAAAGTCCGCCGTCTCTCTGGAGGCGTTCGGTGCACCCGAGATCTTCAAGGTGGAGGAGGAGGAGGAGGAGGAGGACAAGAGTGAACCCAGGATGCGTCGACAGTGCTGCAGTACTGTTGTCGCGGCGCGGAAGCTGGGCCACGGAAACGAAAATGCTACAAATGATGCTCCAATACACGAGGGCGCCCCCATTCAAAGCCGACCGCCCCATGGGTGTGCCGTTCAGGCGGGGGTCAAGTTTTGAAAGGGAACTACCCCGCATACTCCCAGCTATGAAGAATGCGAAGAGGTAGGATCAACAAAGACAAAAACGCTTCCAACGAGAACCGCATTTGGAGAAGAAGATGGCCTCCATCCGTGCAACTGCTGTACATGTTTCACGTCGAGATCGCATGCTTGAGCTGCAGAAACGCACTCCCGACACGTAGCTGCTGGGCAACTTTACAGCGATTCTGTTATAACTGAAAAATGGCCGCACTCCATCGTTGAAACTGTCGCGCAAGGTTGCACTCCAGCTACAGGAAATGTCGAGCGAGATCCCCAGATTGAGGAAGAACGGCCCTCTGTCGTTCCTGAAAGCTCTTCAGCACCTGAACAGGTAGTCAAGACGAGAGCTGCAGCTCGAGCACAGGCCGCACTCAATCCTTGGAAGTAGTGGGAGCTGTAGGGCGATGTGCGCGGCGCTGCGGCGGCAGCCACATCTTTAAAGGGGCCCCAGGACACACAAATAAATACACACAAATAAAATGATTCCCCATATTTTCCCATATTTGTGGGGTTCTCGTCTTCCCCCCACTTCCCATATTTTCCTATATTTTCTGGGAATCGAGGATTTATTGTGTCTGTGTGTTTCTTTTCCTCCTGAATCTTGCCAACGACACCACGCCCCCATATGCTGAAAGCTGTAAAGACGAAGGCGATCGGCGCTGGAGTCGGGGCCAGAATTTGAAAACGACTCGCCCTCCGTGTTTGTCCTTGGCGGGCATTTCCAAGCTTCATGGTCACGAAAGTGGAAGATGTCTTCTCCGGCGAAGCTCCCAGCCCACGCTGAGGACCTACTGACATGCTTGGTGGCGCGAAGAGGAGTTATCCTCCAGGAGAACTGACGGAGAAAGAGAGGGAGCCGAAAGAGAACGGAAAAACAAGACGAGGAACAGGAGCAGGGAGAAACCGAGAGGAAGCTCTTTCTCTCTCTCTCTCTCTCTCTTATTCGCCCGGGAGTTGCTGCCCACACCGCGCCGCCCCCGAGTCTGGATGTCCTGCGCGACATCGGCCCCCCCTCTCTTCGTCGCCGTCTTCCTCCAGCGTTTTTTGTGCAAAACGCAACTTCTCGTGTTGCTGAAGAGTCTGGGATCACATTGTATGAGCTCGCTTCGGTGGCCGCAACATCTTGCCGGCCAGGCGTGTCGCTCGAGACTGCCTTACCACCCATAGATGATGCCCTGCCAACAAGCCGCAGCTCATCCCTGCTCCCCCTCCCCCTCCTCCTCCTCCTCCTCCTCCTCCTCCTCCTCCTCCTCCTCCTGTGCTCCTCGTGCTACTCGTCGTCCTCCTCCTCCTCCTCCTCCTCCTCCTCCTCCTCCTGCTCCTCCTCGTCCTCCTCCTCCTCCTCCTCCGATTCCGATTCCTCCTCCATCCTCCTCGTCTTGGGATTCGACCGTTTTGCTTGGCCCTATGTTCCTCTGCTTGCTTTCCAACTTCCCCCATCAAGGCAACTCGTCTGGGCATCGTTGCTGGATGGGCTGGTGGGGTTACGCGAACCGTGAAAAAATCCTGAAAACAAACCGCAGCTACGAAGATGGAGGGCCTGAGGTTTCACGACTGCCGCTCTTACCTCAGCGCTTCGCACATGTGCTTTGCCAGCTTCCAAAAGTACAGGGATGGCGTCAACAATTACGATTACACTGGCTGTCGCCTCAGCGCTGCGAACAGTAATAGAGAAGTTTAGTTGTTAGTTGTCAAAATCCATCTCTCGCACCAACACCGCGCACATTCGCTCTAACCAAAACTTGTCCAACAGCTACAGAAATGCAGGCCAGTGGTTTCAAAAGTCTGGCTCTCGCCGCAGCGCCTGGCACATGTGTTTCACTAGATCCCACCAGACACGAATTTGGAGGCCACTCGATGCTATATGCAGCTCCCGACCCAGCGCCGCGAACATTCGTCTGAGAAGCTCCTCGCGGCTACGGAAGCAGAGGCAGACCAGACTCCAGAACGCGGCTCCCCCTGTAACTCCAAATCCTACATCGGGCAGACGGACGGGGAGCGTCCCCGTCTCACAATGGGGCCCCGTGGCCTGCAGCTCCGACTCTGACCCCCGCTTGCAGTGACCCCCGTCTCCTGAGCCTCGAACTCTATTCAAAACGGGGTTGCCACTAGACACCTTGAACTTCCCCATCCTCTGCAAACGAAGACCCCCGAGAGGCCCACCAAGGGCCGCACAAAAAAAGGTCTCAAACCTCGCAGCTGCTCGAACGACGACGACGACGACGACGACGACGACGACGACGACGACGACGACGACGACGACGGCGGCGGCGGCGGCGGCGGCGGCGGCGGCGGCGACGACAACGACGACGACGACGACGACGACGACGACGACGACGACGACGACGACGACGGTGACGACGACGACGCCGGCGGCGACGACGACGACGACGACGACGACGACGACGACGACGGCCTGCCATTCGGGGGCGACCAAGAGGGGGGCGTCCAAGAGTGGTGCTTTCCGTACAGCTGGAAACATGCGAATGTGGAGCAGCTCCCATATACAGAACGCGCGCGTCTCGCCCGCATGGCAGGCCCGCGGGGCGTGCGCCCGTCACCGTCAGGGGGGGGGGCCTCCTGCACTGAAGAGGAACACCCTGCAGGGACTTTTTTGGGGGGGTCCCTGGGACGGGAGGGTGTGTTGCAGCATCGCCGACGCATGCTGGATTTACTCTGCTATTCCTCCTCCTCCTCCTCCTCCTCCTCCTCCTCCTCCTCCTCCTCCTCCTCCTCCTCCCCCTCCTCCTCCAACCTCCCCCTCCTCCTCCTCCTCCTCCTCCTCCTCCTCCTTTCAGCGAACTCGTTCAGTGAGGGCGGCTCTGTGCCGCGCCGACAGGCGGCGCGGCGTAGCCCGTCAGTCCGACGGCCTCAGGTGGGCCCCGAACTCGTCCTTCCCGACCCTCTTTGCGACGGGCGCCCCTCCATTGCTCGCGAGCTGAGGGGCGCCCGACCTTCTCTTGCCGCGAGGCAGCTCGGCTGAGCTGGCGGCCCCCGTATGTTACACGGGGGGCGGGCCGTGCCCCCCTTCGGCCGTGGGCTGGGGACGGCCTCGCCGCGGCGCACGGTGCGCCGCCTCCTTCTCTTGGCGAGCCCTCCTCTCTGATGGCGTACGTGCTGGACACCGCTTCTGAGGACCCCTGCTCCTGTCCTCCTTATGGGCGGCCTCCATACGTTCACTACCTTCAGAGCTGTTGAAGACCCTGCTCATGTTCCCCTTTCAGCTGAAGTCGAGGTAGGTTCAACACGCCTCGCTGCTGAGGACCCTGCTCCTGTCCTCCTTTCAGCGGGCTGGTCACGTCGAGGTGATGGTCGCAGCTGATGGGGTGGAGGTGCTAGGGATGTTTGTCTGTGTTCTGCCACGCAGCAGAGGACCCTGCTACTGTCCTCCTTTCTGCGGGCGTTCCTGCAAGAGGTCGGTTCTGAGGACCCTGCTCCTGTCATCCTTTTCGACGTCTCCCGGGCATCCTCGTCGAGCCTCGCTGCTGCGGACCCTGCTCCTGTCCTCCTTTCAGAAGGCTCCGTCTTGGTTGCGTCGTGCCACGCTGCTGAGGACCCTTTTCTCCTGTCCTCCTTTCAGCGGGCAGGTTGTGTCGAGGTGGTGGTGGTTGTTGGCTGGGCGATGGTTGCGGGGTGGGTGGTCGGTCGGTGGCGAGTCCCTAACGTTGTGGTTGGTCGTCTTGAATGTCTATGGGTAGGTCGTGGGGAGGTCGGATTGTTGCTGGGATTATGGTATGGGTTATGGGCGCACTTGAGAGGCCTCCATGCACCGACTTCAAGTAGGGTTCGCGGCGGCCCCACCTCGCCCCGCTATGGCTAGGGGTCACGGTGCCCTCGGTGGGGGCGAACCCCACGCCTGGTGCTTGCTGCTGTTGTCGGTGAGGAATGTCTCGGCTGCCCTCAGCGTCGCCCCATGGGCGACCGGGGAAGCACCACCTTCGTCGTGGGGATGGCGGGGGTGGCGAGCTAGGGCGGACCG